TACTACACAAAAAGCAACCTAATTTTATATAAATTGTTAAGTAACATTACAATTACATAAATTGATATCAAACAATTGCATAGCATTATTATCATCTATGTTATATCACGTAAATATATAGACCTTCAAAGTTCGTGATGTTTATATTCCAAATTTAATATTTTATATTGTTTTATCTAATTTAATGTAATTGCTGTTTATTACTACATATAAACAAATTTTATACTGTATATAAGATTATTCTTATAAAGGTTCCAGGGCCCCAATAATAATTATAGTATATTATGTTATGTGAGGCTGACATTGAAAATCGAAAACTCCCAAAGGAATACGTTTTATAGATATATAAAAATATATCAAACCACATAATGGTCATATTAATAAAGGAGAGGTATCTTTCAATATATAACCAATTAACACAATGCTGCAATGATACGATAAATCTCATTAGTTTTCAATTATTGTGCATTACCCGATTATCATAAATAAAAGATACTACAACTGGAGTTAAACTGTGGTATAATATATTTTATATACAAATATATATGTTCTCTGTTGATTATAAGTCTAAATTACTGCATTAATCTTTTTATTTATAATATTTTATACCTCCAACATTTAAATATACATTTACATATACATTTATATATCGTATCATAACGACAACCCCTATTACTATATCACTATGCACAGTTATCTGGCCATTGAAAGGTAACATTGTAACGCGAATTAGCTGCTAAATTTAGTCACTGTGAAAAATACTAACTGGCTTGATTCTTGTTATTTCTATTGATAATAGTCCATATGAACTAACTTCTTAGATATTACTAGAAAACTGTGACGTAGTTATTGAGGTTATAATATAAATTGCTCTATAATATAAATTATACTATAAATTATACTATAAATTATATTATAAAATTATACTATAAATTATACTATAAATTATACTATAAAATTATACTATAAATTATACTATAAAATTATACTATAAATTATACTATAAATTATACTATAAATTATCTGTTACAGGGAAAATAACACCGTCCATATGATAATGTTTTTTATAAAAGCATTCAATTTCTTTTCAGCTGTTCTCTTGGTACTCAGAAATGAACACATTCTTTAATATAAAGACATTAGATTATTCTCCCATTCGTACCAAGTGATTTCAAGTTAACTGTTGGTGATCACGACCAAAATAACAATGAATATCGTATTATATACAACGGTCAATATAATTCCCGATAATGACTTTGGTGATCATTCAAAAAGCTGTCTTAATGCCTACATATTAACTTTTCAGCTCTAGCGTCAAAAAGAGAGAGAGGTTTTTTGTCACGAGTTAGTAGCTTGTTATGGAAAGATGTTAAGGAAAAGGACAATTCATTTTGCCAAGCTATGTAAAATGCTTCCGCGAATAGCAATCTTCTCAAAGCTTCAAAACCTCGATTCGTGCAATATGTCCTAATGTTTATAAATTAATAAAATCCCGTAAAGAATTCAATGTCTATAAATCAAATAAATTTCGTAAAAAGTCTAATGTCGACCATGAAATCGAGTACCAACTCATTGCTGGAGAAAATCGTCCAGAACAGCACTGCTATGAAAATTTTTACGTAACCGATTATAATCATTTTAATAATTCCATTACACCACTACTGTGGGACTTGTTTCCTACTGTGGAACCTATTTCGTTTTAAAAAGTGTTCTTTTTTAATTTCGTATCGGTATTAACTACAATATTAGAATAATATAAGATTTTAAATAATAAAATATGCAATTTGCGCGCGTAAATATTTAAGTTTTAAGTATATATTTTTCGTCAACTGATATGTGATCAAAACAATTTTTATTATTTCGTTTTTTTGGTAATTTTAGATTCATTTAAACAAATTGATTTGGATTCATAATATGATCAAAATTAAAATATAATAAATCATTTGAACTATTCAATTTGTTACCGTCAGCGTACAGCGCTGCATATAGTATCCCCAGCCTTTTACAAGAAATCTAAGATTAATTAAATAATACCCCGGGGTACTGTGTGAAGAGAGAATACTATACAAGGAGGATATACTAAAAAGTGGTGAGTTTATCGTATAACATGATCATTGGTTGGATCATGAACGTAATAAATTACTGTCGCGGCTGAAGCTTGAAACGGCTGATGCTTGAAATTTTAAATATTTTAATATGAAATTTTCAAAAAATTTTGGGATGCATTTTTTTAGCTTTTTTTTTATAGTTGACTTAGAATTTAGGGTTAGTTTTGATAATTAAAATGTACAAATGGATTTTGGTAGGATTTATATTTTTAAATCGAGGTCCCTAATTTCAAGCTTCAGCCGCGACAATTACTACTTGATTAGTACCGGGATACTTTTCAAAAATGTTAAAAATCTACAATTGAATAGTACCCCGTATTATTTAAAGGAATATTATATGCAGTGTGAGTGTGATGCATCTTCATCAAATCGAATTAGGTTAGGGTTGTTAGGATGAAAAAGGTAGTTTTATGAATAAAATTCAAAAATCACTTTCATGTTCTTCTTATCTTAATTGAGAGTGTAGCGATGCATCGTACAGGTAATGAATTACAAATTTCTAAAATTGAATATCAAATGTAATTTAAAAATTGTTGTTTTACATTAATGTATAATGTAAAAATCAATAATTTTTTTTTAATTTTGTAAAAATTTATGTATATGTTGTACAGTATAAATTTATACAGTAGCAAATTCATAAAATTAAATACTAGTCGATCCATAATATTTAAGTGTTGTAAAGGTGATATTTCAAGATCATAATAAACCGCGCCCGAGGCTTGGATGCATGAGGCTTGTTGTCGAAGGTCATTGATATTAACAAAGATAAGTCACAATGTATAAAAGACTTAGTGTACTGTGAACACAAGCCTCTTTATTAGTTCGTTGAAAATATTTAAAGGCCGTAACTTGGCCATTGTAGATTGCGACACTTACGTGCGAGGCAGGGCATGTAAGAATATTTAAGATAGATTCTCTTTTTCGGGGCATTGACTGAATCACAAATAGTCACGTTCTGGTCGCCTCTGGTGAGAAGCTTAGTTGTAAGTCAAGCACTAGTAGTCGTACATCGGAACGGAATTTTGTATATTTATAATCCACTTAGGTTGGAACGGAATTCCAAATGTTGCCCATGTTAATGTTGTAAGTGGGAATAGAATTTAGGTGGATTTGGAATTTCCTATTTAAATTAGGTGTACATATGATAAAATCAACCCAAAACGGGGTTTTCATATATAAATTCCGAATCCACTTAAATTCCGTTTTCGCAGGCTTATTTACGTCACACTAGTTACGACTCAATTGCATTATATTTAAATAAACCGATTTTTATATAGGACGTAACTGGGTGATGTCATAAGTCTGCACCTATAGTTCCTCAAATTTAACTGTAATAATCTATAAAATTATTAGCGACTAGGAATACTAAACTATTAGCTGGCGGTTATCTAAATTTTTTGTTTTTTTTTTTTGTTTTTTTTTTTTTTTTGTTTTTTTTTTTTTTTGTTTTTTTTTTTTTTTGTTTTTTTTTTTTTTTTTTTTTTT